ACCCCGGGGGCTGGGATCGCGTTCCCCGAGAGAACAGATAAACGGACAGATCGACAGACGGCCCCATGGATCTCTACACCCCCGAAGAGACGAGTTACTTCTTCAGCCGAGATGTCCCTGATCGTCCCACAGACCCCTCCCCTGGCAGATCGCCCGCAGGGCGAGCAGAGAGACGCGAGGGAAACTGAGGCCCTGAGGAGCGCCGCGTCCCGGGAGCCCAGATTTCTGCGGGGACCCCGCAGAGTCACACGGGAGGGGGCAGGGGCATTCTCTCCCTCCGGGGTCCCTTCGCATCTCTCTGCTTGCCCTGCGGGCGATGGGCCAGGGCACTGACCGAGGCAGGTTCCGAATTCAGAATCTTGAGCTGGAGTTCTCCATCTAGGTTCCGGGGTTCCGCGGCCAGGGCTTTGGGGAGCGGGGATAGCGAGGGCGAGAATCCAGGAAGGAAAAGGGCCTCGGCTTTCCTGTTACCTGCGTGGGCTGCGCTCGGACTCCTCTCTGGGGGCTCTAGCTCGAAGCTCCGACAAGTCTCCACGTCCAGCCCGAGAGGGGGCGGCCGGGCCCGGCACAACGAGGCCAGGACCGCGAGCGCCGCCTGGCACCGAGGCTCCCCGGTCCCCCACACCCCGCTCATGCCCCGGACACCTTGGCCCTCCAAGCAGCCGCCCGAACCCGTGCCGCAGCCGGACTAGGGCGGGGCAAGGCGGCCCCAAGAAGCCCTCCCGCAGCGTTCCCCTTCGGCTCCGTTCGGTTTTTAATCACTTCCCCGCAGGGTCTCCGCCCCTCACGTGGCATCCCGCGGCAGCTGGCAAGTCTAGCGCCTTACGGCCGCCCCCTCTACACTCAGCGACCGGTCTGAGTCCAGGAGGTTCAAGGCGAGGGAGCCGGGTTGTCCCGCATCCTGGAGGGTGCAAGACTCAGGCAAGAGTCTGGGATGTGGCTCCGCATTCAGTGCCTGATGTGACCTTGGGCCTCTCTGAGCCTCGATTTTTCCTCTCTGTAAAAGGGGTGTGATGATTACGAGTGCTTCACGGGCTGCCTAGGGATGTAAAGACAGTGTTTGTGAAAACACTGAGTAAATTGCCACATTCCACACAAGCGGCAATGAAATAGATAAACGTATTTCAAAAAGAAGGATGACCCCACTGAGGGTGGGAGGACCTTGACCAAGGTTCCTGATGCGAGAAGTTAGTCAGGCTTGCCCCAGGTTCCAGCTTCGAAGGCAAAAGACCCTAAGACTGCGGGGCGATGCGAACTGCAAAAAGACTTTGAGCCCCGCAATCTTGCGGTCCGTGGTACCCGCACGTTACTATGGCGACGGGAGGCAGCGGCCGTCTCTCTCCATGGCAACGGGAGGGGAAAGTTTCTGGCGAATAGGAACGGGGGGCGTTTCAAGAGGGCGCTCAGTTCCCGCCAGACCCATCTCACCGCATCGGTGCACCACCACCGGAGATAATGTATGTTGCTATTAAGTGTAGCAAGGGCCAGAAAGGAAGAACTAAGCGGGAGGATTGAGGCTAGACAGGGCAGAATTCCCCTCCAGGAATTGTGGCATGCAGTCCTGGAGCAGATTGATTGAGGGCGCCTTCCTCAGTTCTGGAGGTCTGTGGATAGCTATCGGATCGCGACCCTGTGGGGTCCCTGTCACAGAAGTCGTACGTCCTCGGCTGGGCGGCGGGTGGACTCCTTCCTGTGTGGGGTTCATCCAAGACTCCAGACTCAAGTCCCTTTGCCTTCCCGAAACTGGGAAGGAAACTTTATCTGGAGCCTCTGGAAGCCGCGAGGTTTGTGTGTATCAGGGTGGCGGGTGGAGGAGGAGGGTCTTTCCTCCTAATTAACACGCTAATTGGAAGTGGCTCGGGTGGTGACTCACGTTCCGAAGGGAGGAGATTCGGAGCCTTAGCTCCTGGCGGTCTCCATCGTGCACCATCTGCGCCAGGCGCGCTAGCCCCCCCTTGACAGCCCCGGGCACAGAGTGCCCCCGGTACGGAGGGTCAAGCCGAGGCCTAAGAGGGCCCTGGCCTAACTATGCTGTTTTTTCTCTCCGCGGGCGCTTCCTACCTCTGTCCACGGTGCTGAAATCCCATTTGGTGCGACACTTGCGTGGGCACCTTGTTAGGGAAGGGGGGTGGGGTAGGCAATTGCGGCAGGTTCGAAGCTTCCACCCTGACTTCAGGAGCTTGCAATAGGGAAGGGCTAGGAACTCAGGCGGGAAGATGGAGCAGGCATGGTCCCGGCCACGCAATGCAATCCAGGCCGCCGTCCTGTGGGAGGTACTCGGTTGTGGTTCCTAGAACAAGTGAGTCTGTGGAGTCCCCGTTCTCCTGCTAGTGATTTTAGAACACACCCGAGGAGCCATCACTTTTCCCTCTACCACTGGATGCAGAGCTCAGTACCTGGGAGAGATTGGCGCTCAGAGGCCCCTTGTCACACGCATTAGCCGTTTCTGAGGGGGTAGGTTTGTGTTTATGTAAAATAACAAGTGGAGAAGAACTGCTCTCTGCCCATGTTTATGGCAACTCTGTCACTCCGCAGCAATTTGTCCCTCCTCCTCTCGAGTTCCCGAGGAAATTTGCAGAACAAAGCGCCTTGTTTTGCCTTTGCAGAGAATGAAAAAGGTCCATTCCAAGGGCCCAGGCCTGTGATGCAGGGAAATCAATATTTTACTTTACAACGAGTGGGGGAATTTCCATCCTAACTGAAGGCAAAGGAGCCTGTTCGGAGCAGAGCAGGTGGCAGGAACCGAGAATTAACAGATAATTTCTCATTGTTCCCGGATTCAGCCTCCACACTCGGCAGGCGGTTCTGCAGCGTCTCTGGCACCCCGGACCTGGTATTTCTCAACCAAACAGGGAGAAAAAGGTTCTGCTCTGACAGGGCTGCGGGAAGGGGATGGAACTCCCGGGTCAGTTGATAACTATTGAATTTGGAATGCGTAAAGGGAGTGTGTGTGAGAGATAGAAGAGAGAGGCAGAGATAGAGATAAGAGAAAGACAGGAGACACATGGAGAGGCAGAGGACAAGAGAGACATATAGAGAGACAGATATAGGAAATACAAAGAGAGATACAAAGGTGGGGAGGTATAGCTCAGTGGTAGAGCATGTGCTCAGCATGCACAGGGTCTTGGGTTCAATCCTCAGTACTTCTTTAAAAAATAAACAAATAAATAAACCTAATTACCCCCCCAAAGAGATACAGAGAACAGAGACACAGAACTGACACCCGTATAAAGGACCATACAAAGGGGCACTCATTCAGAAAGAGAAATAAAAGAGAAATGTAGTTTTTTCTTACAGTAAGAAAAGAGTCATACCCTAATTGTCATCTTCTGGCCCTCTCCCCAACAATTAATTGCTGATACCTGTGGTCACGTAACCAGCCACAAAGCAGAAAAAAATAAATCCTCTTGTAAAGATGGGACCCTTTCCTCTCCAGAACCCTTTGGCCCTACAAGCCCACTCCCAAAACACATCTGTGTTTCTACCCATATGAAGAGACCAAATTCAGACTCCGAGGATCCTACTCAGACCCTGGGAGGGAAGGAGAGGGAAGAAGTGATATTGTGGCCCTTCAACACTGTCTCTCAGAGGAAGACCATTTTGAGGTTTGGTATAGGGGTGGGGATGAGAAGGAGGAACAGAGGCAGCCAGTGTGGCATAGGGAGACAAGGGCACTGGGCAGTGCCCCCAGGAGGCTGGGTTCCAGGACTGGCGCACCAGACCAGCCCTGGAGCAGTCGTGTCCCCTGTCAGGGTGTTGGTTTCCTTATCTGCAGAACAGTGAAATGGGATGAGGAACCCTTCCAGGCTCCTTCCAGCAACAAAACTAGGATTTTACAGGAGGGGAAAGGAGAAACTGAGCAGGGAAAGGGAGAAGAGCAGTTTTTTTCTGGCTCTGAAGAAGAGGGTGTGTCACAGATGTCCAGACTTACTTTAGGCTTCCCCTCCCTCATTACTCTCATCTCCTGTACAGCCATGGATAGACTATCCTCGGTCTGGGCCCCCCAGGCCAGACTGCTCAGAAGCAGGAAGAGGATCTGGAGGTGGGGCAAGAGGCAGATGAGAGGAGGTTTGAGGCAAAAACCAGCCTCCCACTCCTATGGCCTCCTCTTCTCAGTAATAGCCCAAGTACCCTTCCTTTGTCGCCCACCCCAAGTCTCTTAGGCAGTGACCTGACTACCCTTGGACAGTTTCCCACCCTGCTCTGAGCAGCAATGTCCTGTTGAGTTATGCTACAAATAAAATAAATTAAAACAAAATAATAATTTCTAAAAAAAAATTAAACCTCAGTAGGAAATTGCTAATGCTGTAGGCGGGAAGGATGAGCTCTTTTGACATGAGCCGATGTGTCATATTGTCTTTCCATCTCAATGCAATTTCTAAATAGGGAGCCCTTTCCCCATTCCCTCCTCCCCTCCAAACCCCCAGCAGAGAGGTAAAGGGAGTAATCTGACGTTCATAGCTGGATTGTCTGACACACAGGGAGAGATACAGAGAAATAGATACAAGCAGACCCATTGCTTTCCCAAGCAGATTGGAGTCAAGAGGGCTCTGACTCAACCTTGAGGACCACTGATCTCCTGTGCCCACCTCTCCCATCTCCTACTTACTGAGGCATCTGGCCACTTTCTGCAAAAGTTTTAAATTTACTCTAGGAAAACAGATGTCAGTTGAACCTGTTCTACTGCTGGTGGAGAATTAAGTTGATGTTCCTGAATTGGGGAGTGGGAGTAACTTTATACCATTATTTGGAACAAACTCTTCTATGGAATCTCCGTGGGATTTCAGCCAGAACAGCTTTATCAGTATTTCCAGCAGATGTCACCTTGTGTCCCCCCTTCCCCCCACACCAATATAGCAACTCTAACCAAAGCTGGGGTACTTCTGCAAACCATGTCCTTTCAAGCCATTATATGAGTTTCCGGGAATTCCTCTTTGCCTGAAAGATACAGAAGACTTTGCAGAGCCCTGAGTCAATGCCCAGTGTTTTTGAGAGTCCAGTCTTGCTTTTGTTCTAGGGAAGGTCCTTGACAATGCAAACCTCCTGAGCTGAGGGTGTATTTGCCTCTTTCTCATTCCTTCCCCATTTCAGAGGCTGCATCTCTGTTCTGTGCTTTCTGCTCAAGCACACAGCATTCCAGATCAGACTTGGAAAGACTGGATAGGTTTTGCTGCTTCCAGCTTGGCTTTGTGGGCTAAAGCAGGCTGGGAACCAGGAAAGCAGATACAGGTTCAAAGGCAGAAGGCAACATCATCCCTAAAACATTTTTAGACCTGGACCTAACCATGGTGGGTTCAGGGCTTTCCTGTATTACTTGAGAAGTGAGACTGATATTAGAGGGGAGAGTCTAGGAAGGAAGCCAAGCGTGCTTCTCTTCACATTCACCTTGTGTAGAAGAAAAACATAGATTTTGGAGTCAGACAAACCTGTGTGCAAATCCCTGTTCTGTCATTTAGCAACAGTATCACTTTCAGCACTGTACTGTAGCTCTCTGAACCTCAACTTCCTCATCTGTAAAATGAGACATAAAAGTCCTGCTTTATAGTATACAAAGATTATATGTATTCAGTTAAATGTCTACTATACTGTGACTGATTCATGGCAGGTGTTCAAACAAGTAACAGTTCCTATCCCTTCCTTCTTGCTCTCAGATCGTAGAGGGAAGGCCCGCAGACACACTGTCCAGCAGTTAATCCATAGGCTGCAGATTGCCAAGAG